CGAGAATGTCACTAGACATACTGATTAAGGATAAACTCTCAGTGTCAAGCTTCAGATCCATTTTCTAATTTCATATCCGTCTTTGGTTGGCACATTTTAAGTTTCCTGTCACAGTTGTATCCATCTACCATATAACATATGTGTTTTGCAAAAAGGACTTAATTTTTTCCACACTTCACGAGCATGGTCATTAGCATTTAAGGTTTTATATGACTGTCACAGTGACTTAAAACTGTGTAAAAGCAGTCGAACAATAGGTGTTCTGGTGATTCATCCAGGGTCTTGAATGCACATGTCAGAAACAATATTTGTGCCTCTTTTATGTGTTATAGAATTACTAGTAGGGAAACAAAACAGAGTTGGACGATGCGTGGGCGAGGGGAGGAAGGCAGGGAGGGAAGACGGATTAGTGAGTTTCTTGCATTTAACTTCTTTATATAGTAGAAAAACTAAAATCAACTTACACTATTAAATCGGCTTATGTTACACCTCATTTCATTAAGTGCACCTGATGGCTATTCTTTTAAAGCCACGTTTTAGCAATGTTAATTTTATTCATTAGATCTGTTAAAATAAGTCTAGTCACTCTGGGTACACAAAAATAAATGCCTTTATCCATTAAATCATACAGTAAAATACTAATTCTAACTACCAAACAGAAAATTTAAGTTTTTCATAGAATGTGAAATTTAGTGTGCTTCTTAAATTTAATATATTATGTTTCAAAAACATATCTTAATCACAGGGGGGCCATCAGGTGAGAAATTGGGGACCAACAGAGGTGAGGCTCAGAACCTCACACCCCCCCCCTGCTTTGAGAGAAATCTTCTGCATCCGTGGATGTTTTATTGCCCTTGTCTAGCTTGGATTAACACATAGTCTACAGGCACAGACCTGATCACCTACATCTGCTCTCTTACAGCACTAAACTATGTTTTCTACCTTTAGCTTGCATCTACCTACCACTGCAGCATTTTATTAAAAATAATAATAATAGATAAATGTGGTATCCACATATAAATCAAGTATAAAAATCAAACGAATATTCATATTTGAACTGATTGTTCATAGTTCATAGTGTGTGATCAAAACCAAAAGTTTCTGTGATGACTGCCCTTGTACTGTTCACCATGTAACTTATTCACTATGTAAGAACTTGTTTGTTATGCTTCAGAAGATTGGAGACTGTTGAGAATTAGGCTTGGGGTGGATTAATGATTGTGCATTGAGCATTGACTCCCCTATATAGAATTTTATTGTTGTTAACAACCATTTGATCAATAAATATGAGATGCCCTCCAAAAAAAAAAAAAGTACAGACTTCCAATTGTAAAATAAATAAGTAACCGGGATGTAATGTATAGCATAAGAAATATAGTCAAAATATTGTAACAACTTTGTATGGTGATAGCTGGTAGCTAGAATTATCATGTATATAAATGTTGAATCACTGTGTTGTACACATGAAACTAATGTAATACTGTGTGTCAACTACCCCTCAATAAAAAATAATTATCTACAAAAAAAACCAAAAAACCTTAACTCTTGTCTCAGCATTAATAAAATTTGTAGACACAATTTCATGAACCTAAGATTTCTCTCAAATATTTTCAATGAGGTTCCAATGGTATCTGGTGGATTTTACTCTCACTGTTTTTGCAGATCTGATTAACACTAGTTGGGATACTTAGAGACATTATCACATTAGGGTATTAAAACTTGAGGATAGCCATTTGATGTTTCTATTTAATTTCCGAGTTCTTTATCAACTCATTGGAGAAATTTATTTGGATGGGATTAAGTATAGAATATATTTACATTCAATACCTTTGCTTGTTATAAAAGTGTTACACTATTACAAATTTTTTCATTAAGTGGCAAAACTGGTATTCACATTCAGGCAGCCTGACTCTGAAATTCATGCTCACAGTATCTATAATCTCTCTTCTATACAATCCCTCTATGGAGAGATACACACAAACACACACATACACAGTCTCAAACATAAGCTACATACACACCTGAACACATGACAATGTGTATATTACAACCACCATATAACCATCATGCTGTCTGTGCAGATTTGAGCATGCTTTTTCACCAAAATTATATTTTGAATATTTTGCTACTTGAAAATATTTTTAAACACCATTTTAATGGATTCAGAGTACTCTAAGGCATCACTATGCTATTATTTGAAGTTATCCTATTAAACATTTTTATCCTTTCATATCCTAAACTATTATTATTGCAATAAACATCTGTGCATATAGATTTCTGTTCTAATTTCTCAATATTAAGAGAAACTCCTAGAAAATGGAAACTGCAGTGAAGGTGAGATGCTAGTAAGTCATGGCACCCATATGGCACCAGTAGTGTCTCAAGAAAAGATCGTACTTTCCACTGATTTTAGAGCATTAACCCTAGGTGTACACATGGCATTCATTAAATAAACCAATATGTAATTGGCAGCTACCTAGTTTAGACATTCTACTCTGCATACAGACTTAGACATCATAGCTGATGTGTGGGTGTGATAGTGTCGGTGGTGGAGGGGGGAGATAAAAAAAAATAGATGTAGATAGGATTAAAATTACATACAATTTTGAGTGCTTAACCTGAAATGTCAGGATACTGTACAGACAATAGTGGCATGGTAGAGGGTACTTTCTGGTCTATATTGTTTGTATTTATAGAAAAGCATGGCTGAGAACTATACTTTGATCTTCTGAAGTCTTCTAAATATTCTAAAGGGCCTGAAAATCCCTCCCCAGGATCTTGGTTTGGAAAGGAGAAATTTCCATTCATACAAATAATTTGATCCATTTCTGTGGCCCCCTCGGATAATCCCAGTCTCACTACTAATTGTGTCTCCTTGCATGAGTCACTCTGCTCCTCTGAAGGCCATACCTACGTCAGGTGGACACCATTCAACGTCTCTTGCTTTCTATACAGTGTATTTCTTTTCCTGCAAATAGCTAGTGGTTGAGCTCTCGCTAAAATATTCTACTTCACATTTTTAAAGCTTTTCAGAGCCGTGGGTACTTTTATGTTCTTGTGGCCCTACTCGAAATGCTCACTGAAAGATTGCCGGCGACACGCAGAGCTTGAGACTCACCGGATTTTTGTCGTTTACTGCGTTCTTAGTTCTTCCAGGCAGTGCCTCTGGGCCAACTGGATTTGTAGTGATGTGCTCACATAATTCTGATTTAACTTTTCTTGGGGAAGATAAAGCAAGTTCAGGAGTGCTACACCCTTTTACTGAAATAATTATTTTCAAAGCCCTTGAAAGCAGTTATGTAATTCAAGGGAAGTAAAACATTCATTGGTGGACTAGTAAAACGGACACCACAAAATTTTGGGGGGAAGTGATGGTTTTTTGTTAATATGCTTCTTCTGTAAAGGGCAAATTGTGTTTATGTTGAAATTTAAGAAGCAAGAAACTATTCTGGATACTTACATATTAAGCTGGAGAGGAAATACATGCTTTATCTATTTCCTTAAGTATATTATTACGGTTAGACATTCTGATAGCTTTTTATTATGGGTGAGAATCTGTGCTTAATTTCGTCAGAAGACAAGCTCCCATCTGGAAGGAAATTACATTGTGTCATGACTGAACAGACAGAAATCATCTTTCAAGTAGGCAGAGAGAGAGAGAGAACTATGAAAGTAAAGAATCCAGGCCTTCTGGGTCATTCCAGAAGAATAGTTTGTGGATGACCTATTAGAACACAGGATCTCATCATTCATTTGTATAAACTCATGGAGCCTTGCAGAATTAGGTTGTAGTAAACTCAGTCCTTCCTTAGTTTTATTTTGTCTAAAACATATACTTGAATATCAGAAATAACATTTTAATACTTCCTAGATCAAAAGATACACTTAGAGTGCTAAAATTTTTTAGTAATAATAAGAGTAGGTTTTTCTTCAATTTAAAGATTACTGAAGAAAAAGGTGAAAATTGATAAAACACTAATGTCATTAAAAATATATCATTTTGCCCTTTCCTTGGTTTTGTTCCTGTGCTGGGTGGGGGAGGGGTGTCCAGCCAGCCTGAGTTATGCCCTGCCCCCATTTCCTTCTGCCTGCCTTCCTGAACATCCACCCATCCAGTTCCCCCTCTGTTACCACAGACTGGATGGCCTATAAAAAAAAATTATTTGCCACAGTTCTGGAGGCTGCAAGTCCACGGTGCGGGGCCAGCATGGTCTGAAGAGGGCCCTCTTCGGTGGCAGTATCCTCATGGGTGGCAGGGGCTGAAGAGTTCTGTGGGGTCTCTTAGGAGACCTCCGATCCCATTCATGAGGCTGCACCCTCATCACCGATCACCTCCCCAAGGCCCACCTCCGAGCACTAGCACACTGGGGGGCAGGATTCCAGCAGACATTCAGACCGTAGAACATCCCCCCTCAGTTCCCCCTTCCCCGTCCTAGGGCTGTCTCACACTGCAGCACCAGCGTTAACCAGAGTGGCATCCAAAAGGCGGCACGATGTCACTCAAAGTTGCATATAAGTCGCATCTGAGGTCCAGATAGAGATGCTCAAGCATAGCTGAGCAAGCTCCTGCCACCTTCTGACCCTACTGCCTCGGCATGGGTGCATTTCTGCCGGCCGCGCAGCTAGAGCCGCTGCAGCTGCCTGAGGGGCCTTAACAGCCTTACGCCTCCATTCACAGGTTCGAGGAGTCCGTTTGTGTGTATGTGTAAGATGATGTTTTGTTCTGACACGTGATTTTAAAAGTAAAATCTAAAGTTCAATACGTGTATCCAAAAAGTATGTATTTCTGAATTAATATAGTCGACTTCTGCCCATGATTCTTTACTGTAGAATATTTTCTAAATGAGGATAATAGTTGTTCCTGTTATGAGCTAAAGCTACAGCAAAATCAGTTTTATTTTGACTCACGAAGGCAATAAAGGAGAGAATTGGTATCATCTACTGATTACTAATATTTTGCCATGTCATGTGTGTTAATGATCATTTTTATTTTATTTTAGATGACACCTTTGGCTGTAAGACTCATCCTATGAAGTTTAAAAATGTAATAGAATAGCTTGATTACTGTCCATTTTGTGATTGTCACCTTTGTTCTGTCACTGCCTCTGCCCTGGGGAATTGCTACTATCTGTAGATCGTAAGTGTCAAACAATGTTCTACCCAAAGATTTTCCTCTTTTCAGATAACCTAAGTGTTTAGGTGAAGTTACAATCAGTTATGTGTTGTTTTTCTATCTCTGTGCTTAATGATTTATATTAGTGTCTCCAAATAAGCTTTATTGGTATCACTTTATCTCATTTTTCTATCCTATTTTATATAGGGTACCATGTTGCTATTATTTTAATCATCTTATTCTGCTTGGAAAAGCAGGTATGTGGCACATGACATTTATATAATATCAAAATGATTTTAAATCTGTTTTTATATTGCTTTAAAAGCAGAATACAGTTGACTCTGTGTTTGATTGTATGTATGTTTATTATTTAAATAATTGATAACCCCAGTTTCCATTTCTCTGCCTTCCCACTGGATTGCATTATGCTGAGTCGAGCTGAACAGATATGTTTCTGGAAGTTTTTTCCAGCTATATATGCCAAATATAAATATACAACTAATGGTATACTTGTAATATTCTATAGAAAGACAGAGATCTTCTTTACATGACAAAGCTTGGGATCAGAGTTTCATATTAAGAATTTGCCTGGGGGCCGGATTAGGGCCCTGTATGCATCCCTGCCTGCTATTGGTGTGACACACCTTTGCAGCAAGGTGGTGTCATATAACAATATTGTTCTGTAACAGGTTTTCTCAAAATAGCCACCCTTACTTAATTCCATCTCTGTGTTGCCCACTGTACTCAGTGGGTATATGGAATAGTGTTATTGATGCTACGGAGACAGAAGTCACACGGAGACAGAAGTCACACGTATCCTGGAACCTGTCTGGTTACGGTGGGCAGAACACGTGTGTGGGCCTTTCCAGCCCAGCTCTCCTAGCTCCCATGGCCCGTTCTCTATCTACTTCGTTACACCACAACTCTGGGCTCTAGTAAAAAGACTTAAGCCGTATTTGAAGGAGAATAGTGGAAGTCTGATGCTCGATTTTATTTTCATGAGCTGTATCACACTGTAACCATTGAATTGAGGAAATCACCTTTTGATTCAGAATATTTTTAAATTATTTCAAGCATCTTGTCATAGACCTCCTCCTCAGAATTAGATTTGTATTCGTACCTATGGTTTTCTTTTTTTTTCTAGGAGAGCGAGGCAGAGGCTTTTTACTTAGAGATAAAGTGAGAGGACAGAGCTCCTGGCCGCCAGGAGGGGACAAGAGCATCTCCCTATGACTTTCTTTTGCTTTTAAACATACAGGATTTTTAATATTTAAGCCAAATCCATATAATTTTTCAACACACATTTTTGAATAATGGATATTGTATCTGCTACATTGAATTATTTTGATGGCAAAAATCACAAAAATATACAAAATTTAGCATAATTGCTAGGACATTGTTAAAACTCAGTAGATTTTAGTTTGCTATTGGTTACTTTGAGGACAAGTACTGCTCTTACAGCTCAGTCAAGAGCAGGTAAAAATATTTGAAACAGTCTATGTAGTTATGATAGATAGTGGGTTTTCATAGGTTTTGACATTCAGAATATGCCTATATAAAAGTATTTTAAAGTAGTCATGGTTTCTTATTGAATTTAACCCTGCATTTAGACAAGAGTCTCTCTTTTTTTTTTTTTTTTTAAATCAACTACCTATGATGATATGGCCAAACCACTGACTCATTTATGCAGGGTTAGTTTTAATTCTATGAATGGAGAAAGTTACATAGGGACATAATTAAAATAAAGTTAAAGTCTTTCTTACAGAACTTATATAGCCAAGAGGCTTCTATATCTACAAAACAATCAATATATGTGGTATAAGACAGTAAGGAATTAAAATCTAATTTGCATGAGCATTCTGTCCCCAGTTACTTTGTGACCCATTACAGCTTTTCACAGCAGAAAACCTAAACGTATAAAACGAGATCATTTGAGTTTGTCGGGTGCATTCCTGCTGAATCAGCCTACTTGGTATGATGCCAACTTCTGTTTCTACAGGAAAAATTTCCTTGAATAAAATGTTAGTAATGTTTAAATGGAAATAACAGCCTTAATCCAAATTTGAAAGCTGTAACTAAAATATTTTGCCACAAAAAGAAATAAAAATAAGAAAAAAGGAATGTGAATGCTAAATACACAACATTGAAATTACAGGCTCACTTTTAACCCAAAGAACTTGTTATAGAATTACTATCTACTGGACAGTAACAGACAGAAAAGAAGTAAAACACATTCTTTGTAGAGAAAGTATTTAGGAAAAACTACATCATGCAAGTAATATCTGGTTAGGCCTTTTGGGATGAGAAGGCAATCTCTAGGTAAATAAGACTGGGAAAAGACATCTGAGATACAGGAAATGCATCAATGTGTTGGGAAAAGTACATAAAATTATGTAAAGGTATCTGACTAAGAAGGCAGAGTAGGCACGTCCTTTCATTACTTGATCATGCTGTTTCCTCATCTCTGAAATTGGGTTAATAGTTGTCCATGTTACCATGAAGTAATAGTCAAGATAATTGTAAGAAATCATCTTGAATTTTAGATAAATTTAACAGATTAAAATATTAGCATGAAATTTGGTGCCCTATGTCCTACCAATCAACACATATATTCCCTAGGTGACTATTTTTAAGGAGAAGCAAATATTTTGGAAAAACTCTGACCTAGGTTTGAGTCCTGACTACTCCTTTACTTGTGTGACTTAGAGAATGGCTTTGACTTCACTAAGATTCAGATCCCTCACCCGAAAAATCGGGAATACTTTGGCCCATTGTCCCTTTTCAACAAATGTTAGCTCTTATCAGTATTTAAATACTTCTGTTATCTTAGTATGTAGTGAACACACATGCATCCATCCTGTCCCTGTGTTGACCATGAGACCTTGTACCCAGGTCCCCAAACCTCAAGTGCACCCAAAAGACTTGGAAAAATGTTATCTGGATTCCTGAATTCCAAATTACTATCGGCAGAGTCATGCTAATCTAGGCACTCATTTGAAGCATTCAAGGAGATGACAGGAGAGGATATACACAGATGCATACATTTCACAGGGCAGCAGCTCGGCCACAGGCAGAATAAGAGGAGACATCACAGAGCAGGACACCATTGTGTGTCTAATACATGAAGTGAATGTTTTAGGAAATCAGGACAGGATAATCTGTGTGGAATGGACAGTTCAGAAAGGACACGTGGGGGAGGCAGACTTGGGCTGGGGAAATAGCAGGGCATGGGCTGGATGGATGGGGAATTGACGACAGATGGTGGAGGCCGGACGTTATTCTGCTTCGGAGTTTGGGCTGGGCATCGCCCTGTAGGCTTGCAGGAGGGAAGGAGAAATGCTTCCTCCAGCAGTGGACAGGCGGGAATGGTCTGTGGTTCTCACCTACCCTAGTTCTAGATTATTAGAATGTTCCTCATCAATTCCGGAAGCTGCAACTCACTCTTTTTGGATTTGGGGCTTTCCTGCACGAGATTCGGAGGTTAAAAGAAGTAAAACACATTCTTTGTAGAGAAAGTATTTAGGAAAAACTACATCATGCAAGTAATATCTGGTTAGGCCTTTTGGGATGAGAAGGCAATCTCTAGGTAAATAAGACTGGGAAAAGACATCTGAGATACAGGAAATGCATCAATGTGTTGGGAAAAGTACATAAAATTATGTAAAGGTATCTGACTAAGAAGGCAGAGTAGGCACGTCCTTTCATTACTTGATCATGCTGTTTCCTCATCTCTGAAATTGGGTTAATAGTTGTCCATGTTACCATGAAGTAATAGTCAAGATAATTGTAAGAAATCATCTTGAATTTTAGATAAATTTAACAGATTAAAATATTAGCATGAAATTTGGTGCCCTATGTCCTACCAATCAACACATATATTCCCTAGGTGACTATTTTTAAGGAGAAGCAAATATTTTGGAAAAACTCTGACCTAGGTTTGAGTCCTGACTACTCCTTTACTTGTGTGACTTAGAGAATGGCTTTGACTTCACTAAGATTCAGATCCCTCACCCGAAAAATCGGGAATACTTTGGCCCATTGTCCCTTTTCAACAAATGTTAGCTCTTATCAGTATTTAAATACTTCTGTTATCTTAGTATGTAGTGAACACACATGCATCCATCCTGTCCCTGTGTTGACCATGAGACCTTGTACCCAGGTCCCCAAACCTCAAGTGCACCCAAAAGACTTGGAAAAATGTTATCTGGATTCCTGAATTCCAAATTACTATCGGCAGAGTCATGCTAATCTAGGCACTCATTTGAAGCATTCAAGGAGATGACAGGAGAGGATATACACAGATGCATACATTTCACAGGGCAGCAGCTCGGCCACAGGCAGAATAAGAGGAGACATCACAGAGCAGGACACCATTGTGTGTCTAATACATGAAGTGAATGTTTTAGGAAATCAGGACAGGATAATCTGTGTGGAATGGACAGTTCAGAAAGGACACGTGGGGGAGGCAGACTTGGGCTGGGGAAATAGCAGGGCATGGGCTGGATGGATGGGGAATTGACGACAGATGGTGGAGGCCGGACGTTATTCTGCTTCGGAGTTTGGGCTGGGCATCGCCCTGTAGGCTTGCAGGAGGGAAGGAGAAATGCTTCCTCCAGCAGTGGACAGGCGGGAATGGTCTGTGGTTCTCACCTACCCTAGTTCTAGATTATTAGAATGTTCCTCATCAATTCCGGAAGCTGCAACTCACTCTTTTTGGATTTGGGGCTTTCCTGCACGAGATTCGGAGGTGCTCTTCTAGACGTTACCAGAAGCTATTTTCTGGTTTGTTCAAATCTAAAGTTGTTGAGCTGCAAAAATACAGTCCCTATTTATCTCCCTCAGAAAATATTATATACTAATCTGAAATCAGATTTCAAAAAAACATTTAACATGTAATGATGGAGATAAAATATATTTCAAACAAATGCTTAGAAATATTTGTCCATTCAGTTTTAATAGTTTGGGAAAACTGTACCAATTTCAAGTGTAAGATTTTATTAAGAAATTCGTTCATTTTTGTTGACCCTGTCTCAGATAGGGATTCTTAGATTTCTTTTCATGGTTTGGCCCATGCATGGGAACGAGAGCATGGGATAAAGTGGTGGCCCTCATCTGCTTTTATTGAATGGCTGGGAGAGAAGAAAGGTACCTGCCAGGTCTGTCCCAAAGAAACA